CCCGCGCCCCCATTGGCGAGGACGGACCTTGCTGAGGGGGGGTGGTAATAACATGGCGTAATCGCTCGAGTTGCCACCTGTTTGGGGTCCACGCTGTGGTGGCATTGATCTCGGGGGGGGGGGCGAAGTCGGACTCAACCCATTGTGCTTCCTCCATTGGAAGCGCCACCCGCTGGGGCCGGAGGGCCGGAGAACCCGCGTGCCGGGGGGGGGGAGGGACAAGGGTGCCGAACGCATCAGCGGCGGCAGCAGCGAGAAAGGCGAGGCGTCGTTCAGCCCTCGCTTCCCCCCTGGGAAAGAGGGGCTTTCTGGAAGGAGGGATTCTCCAGGCTCCCGCCAGGGCAACATGACACCCCTATTGGAAGCGTTGAAAGTTTGCGCTGTTGCGAGAGAGGCAGGCCACAACGACACCCCGCAACCGCCAGCCAGCGGTCGTTCCAGCCCCGCCTACCCAGAGGGAGCCCTCCCCTTTCACGGTGCATGGCTAAACCCTCCCCCAAGAGGGGAGACCCCAGAGGAGGGGGCAGTCAGATGGCACACGCCTGCGGTGGACACCATCAATACAAAGTTGCCGTTTTTCTTCTCAACATCGTCTTTCTGTTCGTCGACGATGCGAAAAGCGTGGCAGGAATGGGACGCGGCGCACATCGCGCGCGGCAGTCAATTTGGGCCCGCCCATCCTGACTGTAAAAAATCAATACACAGTCTTCGTTTTTCCTCTCAGCATGGCCTGCCTTGTCACCGACGGTGCGAAATATGTGGCAGCAATGGGACGCGGCGCACATATGGGTCGCGGCGCACATCGCGCGCGGCCGTCAATCCGGGCCCGCCCATCCTGACTGTAAAAAATCAATACGGAGTCTCAGTTGTTTCCTCTCAGCATGGCCTGCCTTGTCGCCGACGGTGAGAAATCTGCGGCAGGAATGGGACGCGGCGCGCATCGCGCGCGGACGTCCATGCGGGCTGCGGGCCCTACCATCCTGACTGTAAAAACAATACAGAGTTGCCGTTTTTCCTTTCATCATGGCCTGTCTTGTCGTCGACGATGCGAAACGCGTGGCAAGAATGGGGCGCGGCGCACGTCGCGCGCGGACTTCCGGGGCAACCCCAAGGCGGGAGGGGCCACCCTACTTGTCAGAAACAATGCCATGCTGATTTTCCCTGCCCACATAACTGTTCTTGTCGTCCACCCCGCAAAAGTGCATGGCAAGAATTGGGCGCGGCACACCCCCCTCCCCCCCCGCTCGAAGTGAATGAAATGACCTTCTCGCTTGGGCGCCGAGCGAAATTTTCTCAAAGTTGCGCTCCCGCTTTGGCTCGGCGCACGTTTTTAACTCGCCAATTCATTGGGCGCCGGGGCGTTCCAGGAGGCCCTGGGGTGACGAATGCCTGGGAGGTTTTTGCTTGTTCAGGCTCTTGGAGGGCCTCCTGAGGCTCCCCGCGGTTTCTTGGCGCTACGGCGCTACGGCCGTCTGGAGGCCATCTTGGGCGTCTTGGCGACTCAGGGCTACTACTACTACTACTACCACCACCACCACCACCACCACCACCACCACCACCACCACCACCACCACCACCACCACCACCACCACCACCACCACTACTACTACTACTACTACTACTACTACTCCTACTACTACTACTCCTACTCCTATCCTTATTCCTTATTAGAATATACTCCTACTCCCCCCTCAGGCCGGCCATAGGGGCCGCATCCGGGTGGTCCCATCCTAACCTGTAAAAAACAATACAAAATCAACATTTTCTTATTTTTTCCTCTCGACATGGACGTCCTGTCGTCCACGGCGATAATCCATTGCAAAAAATACCACAAAGAGCACACGCGCGCGTTCATGTCAGAATCCTACCGAACACCGTGTGTTTGCAAGCATTTCAACATAAAAACATCAAAAACCCAATGCTTTTTCACAAAAATTGTACAAATTTCCCGCCCGGGCTCTCTTGCTGAAATCATAGGAAAACCATAGGAATCTTAAGAGTTCTGTCAAATCCAGCGATTTCACGTCATCGCGCGGTGCACTCGCGATGCTCTGTCATGCACCCAGGCCGCGAATCCTGTGCAAAAAATACTACAAAGAGCACACTCGCGCGTTCATGTCAGAATCCTACCGAACACCGTGTGTTTGCAAGCATTTCAACATAAAAACATCAAAAACCCAATGCTTTTTCACAAAAATGCTTTGGGGTGTCCTGTCAGACCGTCGGGCTTCCTCCGGCCACCTCTGGCTTCCTGCGGTGTACCAGGCCATTCTCGACTCGTCTGGCAATGCGTGCGCGGCATTCAACACGCGCTCGCCAGTTCCCGTCGGCAACCGCCATCGCGGCCGCATCAGCTGTACCAAACCGGCTGGCCGGTGTGACTTCGGCCCCCAGTTGTGCCAGCTTTGCTTCTTATGTTGTGGGAGGGCGGGTGGGACTGGGCATGCCATGCTTGACTCGCTCGAGCTGGCTAGCTTGACTCCTACTCCTACTCCTACTCCTACCTACTACTACTACTACTACTACTACTACTACTACTACTACTACTACTACTACTACTACTACTACTACTACTACTACTACTACTACTACTACTACTACTACTACTACTACTACTACTACTACTACTACTACTACTACTACTACTACTACTACTACTACTACTACTACTACTACTACTACTACTACTACTACTACTACTACTACCACCGCTACGCGCCAGCACCCAGTTGCGCCAGCATTGTTTCTTATGTTGTGGGAGGGCGGAACGTGTCCGTTGTTCCTTTCAACATGGCCAGTCTTGTCGTCGACGATGCGAAATGCGTGGCGGAAAGGGGACGCGGCGCGCATCCCGCGCGGACGTCAATGCGGTGTCCTGGGGTATCCTCCACTCGCACTGAAATGCCCGCGCAGCCCCCAGTTGTGCCATCACTGTTTCTTATGTTGTGGGAGGGCGGGTGGGAATGGGCATGCCATGCTTGACTCGCTCGAGTTGGCTAGCTTGACCCACACCCACACCCACACCCACACCCACGCACCCACGCACACGCACACGCACACACACACACACACACACACACACACACACACACACACACACACACACACACACACACACGCGCGCGCGCGCGCACACGCGTGGATACCGCAGGATTCCCGAAGCGGAGCACACCAGGGGCATTCGCGATGCCAGCCGCCCGAAAGAGGGCCAGTCGAGATAACGACGTCCATTCCTGGCGGGTTTCGTCCTCTCTGCGGCTCGAGGAGGCTGCTCGTCGCCACGGCTGGATGCGGCTCGCACAAGGGGTGGAGCTTTCACCCGTGCCCGACCTCCGAATAACTCCTCCCTGTCGCACCCCCAGACGTGTCCGTAGGGCGGGCCGAGCGTTTCGCCTGAGACACCCTCGCCATTTATGATCCTGAAGCTTCAATGTTGCACCAGTTTCACGTCTGGAGAGCGGGTCCTTTTCGAAATGTGGCTCTCGCCTCAGCGCCGCGCACATTCGTCTTAGCCGTTTTCAGCTGTCGCATGGGTTCGTATGGTCGAAGTCCCAGGAGTGATTTTCTGGCACGATTTCGGACTATCAGGACACAACGGTCACGTTGGTTCGCGGTGTTGAAGTCCCACGAATGGTGTTCTGGCGCAACTTAGGACTGTCAAGACGCAACAGTCACATCAATTCGCGGCGTTGACATCCTAGGAACGGCTATCAGGCACGGTTGAGGAGTCTCAGACGGTTGTTTTCTCATGGGCCATTTCCCACAATGAAAACGACTTCTTTCAGGGACGTGTGTAGAGGGAACTTGGAGGGAGGGTCTATTGCAACATCGCTGATGCGTCTTGGGTTTGCACTGGTCCTCCTCCTCCTCCTCAGAAATCCAGCGGCTTCAAAACGGGACGGCTGTTGTCTCCCCGTTTGGGGCTTTCGAGGTTGGTTGCATGACAGACAAGACCACCACCAAAAATAGTACGGGATGAAAAGTCGGCCCTGGGGAAGGGGTCGAGCGGACTAGTGGCGGCAACGTCTCGAACAAATGCGCAGAGCCGATGGATGCATGGGCCACAAACGACGGACGTTATCCATATCCTTGCCCATCCGCGACCCCGCGGGTACGCGATTCCACAGATGCATCTCCGCGCGGGGCGGTTTCGCCAGGCGGCGGCGACACCTCCCTGGTACCGATAGAGACACGGCCAGGAAACCCTGACCGCGAAAACGTAGACATGTCCATCATCGCTAACGAGGTCCTCATTGCCCACCCTGCCCATTGCGAGTTGGGCCATCTGTCCATAAGCCATGACCACCGCCTGGGGAATCGATCTTCGTTCCCACGGGCGGTGGGTGTTGGGGAAACTGATCGGTACCGGTACAACTACGCATCGGACCTCTCCCGAGGTGCGTTCTGACCAGGAACTCGAGATGATTCCAGCGGTGGCGACGAGGGCCTGTAAGGAGGGCCAAACATGGGAAACCGAGGGAAGCGTAGCGGTATGAGTATCTTTTCATCAGCTGAATTATAAATCAATCCCGACCTCGGACTGTGGCCCCGAAGAGCTTCCCAAACAGCCAGACCGAGGTGCCCTCCCAAGACCCTCCGCCTGCACCCTGCGCCGCGCAGAGAGCCGGGGCGGGCGGCGCGCCAGGGGCTGACCTGGACGGGGTGCCGTGGGAAGCAGACGCGGCTGGACCTAGCGAGCGAGGTGGCATGCAGGGCATCGCCAGTGCCGCGGTGCCGACGGAACACAAACATAAACAGCATGAGCATAAACTGCTAGAGGGAGACAACAGAAAGCAAAAACATAAATGTTCGACGCTCCTCGCGGATTTCTTGGATCTGCGCCGGACCCCCCTCCCAGGCGCGCGCAGCGCGCCAGAGGCGGCGCCGGAGGCGCCGCCAGGGGGGGCCCATCGCCAATCCAAGAAACCAGGAAGAGCGTCGAACATTTATGTGTATGCCGTTTTTGCTTCTTCGAGCGGCATGGAGGGTATTGCCAGTGCCTCGGTGCCGACGGAGCCCTGGATGTACTGCAGCGGGCCGCAGTTTGCGGTCCAGGAGAACATGGTCGCAGTCAGCGTCTGCAGCGTGTTCTCCAGGAGCAGAATCTCTGGGTCGGCATCGATGCAGGACTGCAGGAACAGGCACAGCCCCCGCATTAATCTCATCGGTGGCATCGAGTGCAATGACCTTGGCTGCCCGCCCGAATAACACCTGTCAGCAGAAGTGGCCCTCTCAATCCTGCCAGATTTAGAACTCAGTGTGCGTGCCATGTCGCTGTAGCGGGCGATTGTCCTCCTTTTCTTCCACCGGCTACGGATGCGAACGGATATTTGTCAGGCCAGCTCGTTGAAGGACGATGAAAAGTACGAACATGAAGACGCAGATGGGGCATGTGCTGAATTTTCGGACTGGAGCCCTTTTAAAAGGAGGACAGAGTCTCCAGGTATATATCCCTCTGCGCGAGCTTAGCTGGGTCTGGGGGTGGGGGTGGGGCGGAGGAAGAGGCTCTCCGGGAATTCCTTCACCCCCCCAGGGAACCCTGAAGCATCGGCCAGTCGATCCTCGCTCGCCCCTTCTGTCGGGGACCAGCGCCAAGCCATACCACGCCTCAATGCTCCCCCAGGCCAGGCAGCGGGCGTGCCCTTGGCGCTGGCCCCTCCGTGCGAACGCTTCGAGCACGGACGTCTGCTCTCCAATCTGCGAAGATGTCTCTGCAGCAGGGGAGGCGGCACTGATTTGTCGGAGGCGGTTGGTACGTCCTTGATGTCGTGTTGCCAGCCAGCGTCTGCCTCAACTGGCCAGGGGAACGGTCACGCTACGGTCCTGGCTTGCCCTTCGTCTGCATCAGCGGCCCTTTCCCCGCGCCATCTCGCTGTCCACACTCAGCCTCTCGTGCTTCTGCTGCTCTTCGTAACTACCCTCGTCCCCGCGCCGCCCCGCCCCGCTTCAACTGCTACTGCTCTTTCTCCTGGTCCGCTCCTCCTGACTGCCCCCTTGCAACACGATTCGGGGCGTGCTGAACCCACATAAGGCAAGGACGCCGACTGGCGCGTTAGCAGATTCACCAGGAGCTCCAGGAGGGCATCGGCGTTCGTCAGGAACTGGTCCTGGAAACTGTGGCTGCGGAGGATGCAAGAGAAGGTCAGGTTTACAACAGAAGCATGCTTAGTTGCAGCGTGTTCCCAATCTCCGTCCCGCCCCTCTCACCCCAAGAGCCCACTCAACCACCCGCCCTGCGCGTCCACCCGCCCACACACATACACACCCACGCAAACTTGAACCCACATGCCGCACCTTAGCCTACACTCATACTTGTTCATAGCCACCCACTCGTTTCCACGCGCACCCATCCACGCGAATAAACATGCACAGTAACATCTGTTTGCCCCCGACGCGCCGATGACTCCAGTCGATGGTCGCACGGTACCGGGACGCGTTTACAACGAACTGGCCACCCCTGGTCGGAGGTGTCCAAAATCGTCCCCCTATCGACTGAGCGGCCAACCACCGCAGGAAGCGTGGGCAGGCACAAATAATTACACACGCACGCGCGCACACACACACACACACACACCGATCCACCCGCACCAACACCTACTGCTACCCCCGCCCGCGCACACACGCACACGCACACGCACACGCACACGCACACACACACACACACGCGCACACACGCGCACTCTGTCTTGGCGTCGCGGCCACGAGCGCAGCGACGCGGCGGAGGCAGTCGGGGAAGCGCCCGGAAGAGCCGCCGAGGCCACCCAAGCGACCGAGGACTCACGCAGCCCGGCCAGGAGCACGAGGTTCAGTCACAGGAAAAAAACGCTGTGCGGGCGTCTCCTTGGGGTGCAGCCGGGAGAGGGGACGAGCGAGGACGCTACCAACAGGCCAACAGGGGACGGTGGCAGCGAGGTAGTGCACGAGGGGTTGACAGACCACGAGGGGTTGACAAGTACCGCGCAGCGTTGACGACGGACCTACAGGGAGGACCACGAAGCTCAAAGGGCAAACACACGCGCACAAGCGCATACACCCACATACCCATTTTTTGTTTCTGGGCCGGTTGGTCCAAGACAGCGATCGATCAGCGAGGACGCTAATGAGAACTACCACCAAACATTGTCGATGGGGGTGCCCTGTACGCCCAATGAGGGAAAAGGTGGCGTGCACGACCGTGCAGCGCCAATCAGCGAAGGCGCGAGGCAGTGAAAGCCTGTACGACTTTGTGAGAGAAGGGAGGTCGCACAGGCGGCATCGCGGGTGATAAGCCGAGAGAGCCGCTGGCGGCAAGGAAATGCAGGCGGTCGGGACAGATGCCCAACGAGCGACTCTGGGGCAGCGCGGCAGAGCCGACAGACAGGTGGACGAACCTGGAGCGCAAGCGGAAGGCAAGGCGACGCACGGGAAGCGGGGCGAACCCCGCGCCGGGACGCGAGGAGGGAGGCGACGCACGACGGCGGCGAGGGGGGAAGAGGGCCCTCCCGGCGGTGCGAGGCGAACGGCCGAGCCGATGCCAAGAAGCGGCGGCGCGACCGCAGCCCGCGCCGTGGCGCGGTAATGTGCAGAAGCCAGGCGCTGGCTCGCAGGCGCCAGGGGCAGCGGAGCGGGAGACCGGCGCGGCGGGGCGAAGGCGGACAGGGCTGCGGCCGGCACGCAGGATCTCGCCGGCGGAGTGGCCCAGGCAGGCGAGGCAGCCGATGCGGAGGAGAGGCAGCCGTCTCAGCTGGCAGCTCCACGAGGGGAACACGTGGCAGAATGCGTAGGACGAGGGGCCACGCCTGGAGGCCGTCGCAGTCTGTAACTCCACAGGGCCCGCCAGGAAAGACACATTCACAATCACACACACACACGTCTTCCTTCTCCTGAAAGGTGAAAGCACCCCGTTTGCAAGACCCGCCTGCGATGAAACGCCCACAGCTTATTGAGTGGGGCGGGCGGAGGCTGAAGCCGTGCAGAAATACTTATACCTCGGGAGAGCCGAGCCGCACAAGAGTGGTGAGAAATAGTGCGCGCACAAACACACACACTCACACACACACACACACACTCGTACACACTTTCTAACGGATGCACCGTGTCTCGGCCACCGAGATGCACATGCGAGATACGGCGGACGAGAAATGGAGCCGAGTGACATGGGCTAGCTCAGAGAAGTAAGAATGCCAAAAACCCTGGACGAATAGTAAAGATGCAAGGACGCACGCGCTTGCGAGAGCTCGCGCATGCAGTGCCCATTGAACTAGGTGAGCAATCTACCCACTTCTTCCTCGGCAGGCTGGTGCGCAACAGCACGGCTGGTCAACTCAAGTCGCCCAGGGGGGAACTAGCGCACGTGGAAGCGGGGGAGAACTTCGACTGGAAGGGACAGGTCCTGAGGGAAACGGGTCCTGGATCCCAGGGCCCTTCCCAGGGACTTGGCACGCCCGGAACGGGTACGGAGAAAACGGGCCTGCCCCCCCACAGGGGGATTTTCGACGAAAAAAACATAATACCCCAAACATGCCCCAAAAAGGTAACAAACATACAAAATAAATAGTTTCCAGACTATTTTGGGTTATTTTTTGATTCTGTTTAGGGTACGATGCACAACAGCCAATGTCAGCAAGAATCGGCAGCGGCCGCTGTGGAGCAGGCAACTGTCTGTCTCGAGCGGACCACGCCCGCGGCCACGCCGATAGCGAACTCGGTTCAAAGTGGACTGGAACCGCTGGCGGTCTTCATGCCTATCCTTTTCGTGCCCATCCCAAGACCAGTGCGCCATCACAAGTTGTTTTGTTCCCTACCTAGGCTCTGCCTAGAAGGGTTCTTACTCTCTTAGCTTAAAGGGGCCGGGCAGTGGAACACGCCCCGGGCGGTTCCCCCAGTCCCCTGGGAGCGGTTCCCCCCAGTCCCCTGGGAGCTTTAGCTTTAGCTTTAGCTTTAGCTTTAGCTTAGCTTTAGCTTGGCTTTAGCTTAGCTGTAGCTTAGCTTTAGCTTAGCGTTTCGCTTAGCTTTTCGCTTAGCGTTTAGCTTAGCTTTAACTTAGCTTTAGCTTAGCTGTAGCTTAGCTGTAGCTTAGCTGTAGCTTAGCTGTAGCTTAGCTTTAGCTTAGCTTTAGCTTAGCTTTAGCTTAGCCTTAGCTTAGCTTTAGCTCAGCTTTAGCTTAGCTTTAGCTTAGCTTTAGCTCAGACTTAGCTTAGCTTTAGCTTAGCTTTAGCTTAGCTTTAGCTTAGCTGTGGCTTAGCTTTAGCTTAGCTTCAGCTTAACTTTAGCTTAGCGTTACTGTTACTACTAATGCTGCTTTCCTAGGGGTTCCAACTCCTAGGTAGGGTTGCACTGTCATAATTTACGGCCCCAGGTCCATAGCCCAGGGGAGCCTGAAGGCGACAAACAAATCTAAAGAACCCATTGCCCTCCGGACCTTGGTCGGCACTTCAAAGACGAGGCCCATAAACATACGGCCCTGGGCCGAAGAGGCCGTATCCGAATGCACACACACATACATACACACACTCTTTACTTTTACTTTCCAGCCGCCTGATCCAACGAAGCGAGTTCTCGGGCGTGGCGCGCCTCGATCATCTGCCATCAACACACACACATATGTGTTTTGCTCGGCTGGGGCAGCCGCGAGCCAGTCCTAGGTCTCGGTCCGAGCCGGCGTGCTGAAAGTGCAGCAGATGCGGTGGGGTATAAGGAGACGAAGAGAGACGAGACAAACGCAAACACACACAGAACTTTGCCCAGCTGCCCGCCCTTCCGGGAATGGGCGAGCAGCCTGAAGCAAAGGTTATCCGTAGAGCCACCGTCGAGCTGCATTGGGAAGGACACGTGATAGGGCGAAGGACTCTTCCGCCAGGGGCAGCGTGGCTCCGACATGCAAGCGCCCTTGCTCCAGGAATGCAGGAGTGCACGATATGGGACGCACAGGGCACAATGGCACTCGGGATGTGACAAGAGTCGACCTGTGACAACTTTGCGACAGAAGACCCTAAACCAGCTGTTTGGGGGGCAACCAATAGGGAGCAACGATGGGGGGACAACGATGAAGAGCCATGATGGAGGGCCACGATGGGGTTCTCGATGAGCCACCGATTTCGGAGTCCAACATGGGAGGCAACGATGAGCTACCGATCTTGGGGGCCCGCTGTCTCTCACTGGGCGGCAAGCCAAAGTTGCACTCCCTATTGGGCGCACTAATCAGACTCGACTGCGCTCTAGCTCCGTCGGCGGCATCCGAAAACCACGGCGGCGGCCCCCTCAAAAGCGGTGGCTTCCCCCCAACGGCGGCTCGAGGAAGCGCTCGACCCATTGGGGGGTCGGCCTCCGCAAGGCGAGTTTTTATCCCACAAGCTCGGGTGTCTTGGCCGGGGGGGCCCAAACGCACCCGAGATCGCCGAGTCCGTGCCGCCCTGAGCCTGCCAAGATATCCGACATCTTCGCAAACATCAAGACGGAAATGTTCACCATTCTCGGCCTCCCGGGACACTCGCTGTGCATTTCCGGGGAGCTAGTGCCGAAAGAATCGAGACATCGGACCTCATGTGTGTGCACTGGGTGCCTAAATCTGGCGGCCCGCTCATGGATGTGACGAGGAACCCCTCGTGGGCGCTCCAGTACTTGGTCGCCGCTCTACAGGACGCATGGGGTCTACTGGGAGTGCATATCGAACTCCCATCGTCTTGGCAAGACACACCTCTAGGGGATGCGAGGAGACCATGCTGGCCAAAACACATTGTGCTACGACCGCAGATGGCCATAGGCATCACGTGCTGAATTGCATTAGATGTAGGTGCGACGGGTCAACGCTTGGGGCACATCTTTTGGCCAAAGCAATTGTCTAACGGTGCCCCCCCGCGAAGTTCTCATAGGGCACTCGCTGGGCGGACAGCTTCTGGTTTTTGACAACAACTATGCCCCGAATGTCATTAGAAGCCAGGGCGCGCGCATGTCGCACAGCACGAGGCAGTCCTTCGGGATCACCAGGCACAGGTGGCCCAGGGTTTCCATGGCACCCACGCGGATCGACAGGTCCTTGGAGCTCTGCCAAGAACTCATGAGGATCGTGAACGCTGTGCTCAAAGCCGTGCTTGCCCGTCGGCGATCGTCCGTCTCCTGACAAGACCATCGAAATGAGAGCCAGACTAAGAAACACGAGCAGTTCGAGACGGATGAAACTATACTTCTGCATGTATAGCAAACGATGGGCCATGCTCCAGAACTCACTCGTGATTATCCATCGGGGAATGCACATATGTGTAATGCATGTATTTGCAGGCGCTGTCGTGAATGGATGTCTGAACATTGGTGAATCTGACTCTGAGTGGGCTCGAGCATGAATCAGTGAGGATGGGTCCAGGATTCGAATGACTACGCATGAGTGGCATGAGCAGGAGTTGGTTCACACAAGCGGTTCGAGCTACAACTGAACCCGACTATGAGTGGGCGGGTCTATGAGTGGGTCTGGTGGTGATGGAGTCTGAGGATGACTGGATGCGAGTAGAAGTGGCTCTGATCATGAGTGACTCAGCAAGGGCGGCTGAGTATTGTTCAACGTTCTTCGGCGCACGGGGGCTCCAGGGTCCCCTGGAATCTCTTGGGCCTCCGGGGGGCCCTCGGAAATTTCCTGGCCCGCCTGGGGCCTCTCGGGGCTTCCCGCGGTTTCCTGGGGCCTCCTGTACATGAGGAGGAGGCGGGGGAGGAGGCGGAGGAGGAACATGAGCACATGAGCAGGATGAGGGGAGGGAGTGGGAGGGAGGATGATGGAGGAAGGGGGAGGGGGGGGGCAGGAGAGGAGGAAGGGCAAAGGGTGAAGGGAACGAGGAGAATGGCACGTCCAGGTCCGCAAACGGGCATTCTGCCTGAGAGGTCCTGACAATCTGGGCGCGAACGGGCAAATGTCCTACCCCTTGGCGGCTACCCCGTGGGTGGAGTGCCCAAGGTGTGTGCCTGCTACATTGCGGTGGTCACGGGGCTTTCAAAACAGAGAAATCGGTGAAACCCAAACCAGCGTCATACATACATGCATGCATACATACGTGCATGCATACATATTTGCATGCGTACATACTCGCAGAATGCAGCCATGCATGCATGCGTACATACATCCATCCATATGTATATCAATGTACGCTCATACCTAAATGCACACCTGTTTATGTACATACAAACACACATACATTCATACATACATACATGCATCTACTCAACCGACCATTCGTACATACATACAGAGACATGCGCATGTATGCATGTGCGCATACACATATACATACAACTATAACGTGTATGCTTATGTCTATATGGAAATATATGTGTATAAAATGTACATCAGTGAATACATATACACGTTCGTCGCTCATGGGATTTGACGACCCCCGTCAAAGATGACCCACGTTACCCCCAAGATCCGATGCCTGGATATTTTCATCACGGGCCCCCCCAGATGTTCAGACCCTCTGCCTGAGCCGCCTTCTGCGAGAAGCCGAGCAAACACGACCAACATCCAGATTGTTGTTTCGGTGGGTTTGAGGTTAGGGCGTCAGAAATGGCTCCCGCTAACGTCAGGAACGTTTGCTTAGCGTGTCGCAGCGTCGGCCAATGCGAGACGCTACATGTCTCGCAAGCTGGAGTAGCGTACCGCCCTGCTTGGTGGAGCGGGGGGCTTGAAAAAGCTCGGGGCCTCGATGTGGGGACAGCGAGGGCAGCAAGCGACCACAACCACATCGCGGACACGCCCTCGGGGTGACCAAATCGGCCACCAAAGAGTTCACGCCGAGGTCGGTGGGTTCTCCGTCGAAGAGCCCTTGAGAAACATCCCCTTCTTTGTGGTTGTGGTTCTTACTGTGCCAAGCGTTGATGCTCTGGGACGTCAAGAGGTTCTGAACGCGTCGCGTCGAGGCACGGTGGTCCAGAGCCTGCGGCGCGTGCGAGGCGGCAAGATATCCATATCCACCGCCTGCGGAAACCGACGTCATTCGACCCCAGCGGTCGGTGGACATGGATGTCTTTGGGCCCCAGAGGTCCCTCACACGTCCATATGCACCGCCAGCCGAGGTCCCCGCAGATCGATCTCCCAGGAGGTGGTTATGGTAAAGTCTCCGCCTCGGAGCGCGACGCACAAAACCAAGCAGCTGTTCCTGACCGTGCCTGCCCCCCCGATCTCGAGAGCTCAGCCTGCCGCCGACCGCTCGGGCAAGGGGGTATCCTCCGCCGCGGGGTCGAGGCCGCCGCAGTCTCCGCCCCGCCGCCGCCGCAACTCCAGCGCGGCGGACCCGAAACACCGGGAGAAGGTCGACTCCGTGCTGGACCTGCTGGCTGCACGAAGGAGTGATACATATTGGGTCCTACGCAAGAGTGACCCTGCCTGCGCGGCGATAGCAGGCGTCGGCGGGGCCAAATCCGCGGCGCACAAGCCAGTGCTGGAGCACGCTGGGGGGACCCCTGTGGGCCCGCCCCAAGGGTCACTCCGGCGACGGACGACTCTTAAGCGTAGGAGGGAGGGCAGGAGGAGGTTGTTCTCCAAATAGGCTTACCTGGAAGAGTCCTAGCTCAAGTGCAGGGAGAATTGGTCCAGAGATGCCCACCCCTATCTTGCCCCAAACTATGGCAATTGCTCCCTCTGCAATTGCAATGGCCTCCGCTGTTACTGCAATGGTTTCCTTTGCTATTGCAGTGGCTTCTACTGCTATGCAACGGATGATCGTGGCTATTCCAACGGCGTCCCAACAATCGCCTAGCAACCGCCCAACTCATAAGTATTCTACACTAGAGAGCAGAACCGAATAAAACAAGATAAATAAGAGTTTGAACATAATAGGGTCGAGAAGACTCGGGTTTACTTTAATATAGGGGCAGGAATCGAGCATGGTAAGATAGAGCTGGCTAGGCTCGGGCAGGGTAAGCGTAGGGTAAAGCAAAGCAGGGTAGAGTAGGGTAGGTGGTAGAGTATATTAGGAGTTTACGGTGGAAAAGCACAGATGGGTATACCATTTCAGACAAGGGTGAAGTATAGCAGTATAGCAGGGCACAGTACAATCGAGACGAGCCGATGAACACACTATAACATAACATACTAACGTAGAACAACATCGAAGAGAAAAAACACTGAGTATAGCCGGAGCAGTGAATACTAGTAGGAATACAATCGAGTTCGGCATGCCGAACGAGTCAGATGGTCCCGCCTACCACCAGCCTCCTCCCCCCACAACATAAGAACCATGTGTGGCTCAACTTGCTGTTGGGATTGGAACGCGCTCGCACCTCGCAAACGGACGGCGTTCGCGCGCGGCCCCGCTTCCGACGACTTGGCGGACAAAGAAACGACGCGGGCCGCGCATCGGCGGGAAGGGCAAACTGCCCGGTGATCGCAGTGGACGCGAAGAATGCGCCGCGCTGACACAGCACTGCCACTTCCACTCGCAAGCTGCGCAACGCTTGGGCCAGGTCAGTATTTCGCCCGCTCTCGCACGACCCCGCTGCCGGTGCCGCTGTCACTGTCATGCGATTCGGCGAGAGAACCATGCGTCGCGCCCGCTCTTGAACGCCATTTCTGAACGAAATGCGCACGGAACTTTGGCGAGGGAGAGAAATCGGCCACTCGCGCGGGCCCCAAACAAATGGCGAGTCAAAGACATGCGCCGCGTCAGAGCGGGAGCGCCACTTTCAGGCGAAACCTGCGCAGCGCCGAAACGACAGCGACATGTTCACCCGCTCGCGCGTCGACGAAACTGCGTGCGAAAAATGGGCGCCGCGCCCAAGCGGGAGATCAACTCTATAGAAAAGTGGGCGCGGCGCCGGAACGAGAGGGGCAGGTCGTCCTTTCGCGCGGGATGTGCGCCCCGTCCCGTTCCCGCCCGCCACGCGTCTTGCGACGTGGGCGACGCAACTGCCATGTGGAAGCGCAGAAGTTTGCTGTTGCTGTTTTGTTTATCGCTGCTCTGACAGATACCACGGGGCCACCCATCGGGGATCTTCTGACCCGGGTCAATCCAGACCCGGGTCAGCGGGAAACCACAAACTGCAATGCAGGAAAAAAAACTGCAACGCAAGTCTGCGCAAACCCGGGTCAGCCAATACGCGCGGCCGCCTCGCGGCCACGCGCGGCTCCCTAACCCGGGTCAGCCAGAGAGGGTCTTCGCAGGATCCTGCAGGATCTGGCGCTCTGGCTGACCCCCGTTTGCACTGACCCCCGTCTCTTAGGCCCCGAACCCAGACCTGGCCCCGATCGACCGGGAATGTGGCCATGCAACGAGAGTACACAAACAAATAATGAAGATATATGGAAGTGGAGCACGATATCTACGGTAGGGTAGAAAAGGGCTGAGCGGGGCATACTAGAAAAGAAGAGGGTAGATTTTAGAGTCGAATCAGGCAGAACATAATGGAGTAATAGTGCGAGTACGGGAGAATAAAGCAAAGCAGAGGAAGGTAGAGTAAAAGTGGGGTAAGACTAGAATAGTACCAGGAGTAAAATAGGGTAGAGCAGGGTAGAGCATGGTAGACCAAGGTCAATGGTAGAATACAACCGGGTAGAACATAACATAATCGGAGTTGGGCACAGTTGAACATCGAGCAGGAATAGGTTAGGAGGAAAGAATAATAAAACAACGTAGACTCGGGCAGGGCAAGGTAGAGGAGGGTATATTGGAGCAGAGTAGGGTAGAAAGCAGACTAGAGTAGAGTAGACCAGGGCAGAGTATATGAGTATGGTAGAACAGAATAATAGCAGTACAGTCGAATAGACCGTTGCGGAGGAGGTTAGAGTCGGAGCAGAGTAGAAAAAGAGTGCACGATGGGAGTAGAGCAGACTAGACGAGAGTAGAATCGGTGAGGTCAGAGTACAGCATGCGAGAGGGGACGGATGGCAGAGCAGGGTAGAGTAGGGTAGACAGTAAAGTAAATAATGGTGAAGCGAAGAGTACTAGAACAGAAAATAACTGAATAGAATCAAGTGTGACATTGCAGATATCAACTGAAGAAAGCACAACATAACAGGGCAGAGTAGAGCAACTCAGATCAAGTATAATACAATAAAGCAGGAGGGGAGTATATATATTGGGGTAGGGCTGAGTACAGCAGGGCAGAGCAAGAGTTGGTCAGGATAAGGGGAGAGCACTGAAATTGAATAGGGCTGAAAACGGTAGGTGGTACCCACGGGTTGCAGTCGCCCCCCCAAATTAGGGGCAGATCTCGCCTCTGGCCAAAACGCCAACAGGCCTTGCACGCTGTAGTTCCGAGCCAAATGCTGGGGGCGGTGGGCGAGCACGAGCCGAGCGCAGTGAAGAGTGAAGATCGATGGCTGGCTCACGCTTAGAGGTCCTCTCCACGGCCGGAGCCCCCACCGTCGACTGCGCTGCCAGGGTCGCCCTTGGCTCGGGCAGGCTGGCCACGCCCCTTCGTCCACCTCTGGGATCATCCAAGCCGTCGACGACGTCCCTTACCTGCTGAGCGCGACCATCGATGAGATGGACTGCCTCGTTGGCGCCGTAGCCGGCGGGCTGGCACCTGCTGCCGCCGCCGCCTCCGCCTCGGTGGCCGCTGGCATGCCCCGTGGGGGACGGGGGCCGCCGCTCGAAAGGCCTCCTCTCCTGTCCCGGCGCCGCCTTCACAGTCCCAGGCTGCCTGGGCTGTCTCCCTTTAGCCGTCGAGTCTGTAGAGCGCGCCTTGCCAAGCTAGGCTCAGCAGCTCGCGCCCAGGCCTCCGCGTCCGTTTGGCGGGGGCGTGAGCATCGGGCCAGACTCCCATGGTGAACGCGTCCTTCCTGGGCTTGATGGCCGCGCTGCCGCTGTCGCCGTGCCTCCCGAGTAGGCTGGGCCATGCCAGTCTGCTGTGGCCGTAGCTGCAGCACTTCTGGCAGACGAGGGCGGCGTTGGGCTTGGGGGCCAGCTTCCCTGCGCCCGCGGTGACGTGCCGCTGCGCCAGCGCGTGGCTCTTGAGGCTCCAGGGGTAGACGCCATCCTAGCTGCTGTCCGCTGGCGCAGGCGGTGGTCGATGATGCCGCCGCCTCGCACGGCCGCTGGTGGCCTGCACCGGGACGGGCGCCTCGTCTCCCCAGCTGCTGCCCGATTGCCCTGTCGCGGCAGCTGCAGCAACTACTGCTGCCACTGCCGCTGCCGCCACAAGCCTCGCCCCGATACATGCGCCGCCCACTGCGAACGCCGCCTCCGTCTCGCCGAACGGCTCGTCGTCGGGGATTTCGAGGGTGGTGTCCGTCGCGTGATCTCTGATCTAGTGGGCCTCCATGCGCGCGCGCAGCTTCCCTGCGTAGATCATCGCCGCCTTGGCTATTTCGTGGGGTCTGAGGTTGATGTCTGGCCTGGCAGAGCTAGGCGTTCGGCGTGGTGGTTGCCTGACCTCTGACAATGGGTGGATTTGCCAGCCTCGATGTCGGCCTCCGTCGCGTGGCCCGGCACCTTGGCTACATCGTGCCCTCGGTCGCGCTCGAAGGCCGCGTAGAAAACCCCCCGGAGGTGCGCCCTGGTGGGGGGGGGGAGGGCCTGCGAGCCCATTCCTTCACGCGAGTGGCGCCGTCCACCGCCCTCTGGCAGTTTGTCGGGAAGTCGACCTGGTCCCCGCAGATTAACGGCGCCACGTGGCGCGCGCAGTCCTCCCCGTCGCGCGCCTCCAGTCTCGGCGCCATTGGCAGCGGGGCCCAGCCGCGGGCCGAAGCCACCGCCTGGCCGAAGCGGTCGCACAGCAGATGCGACCAGCCTGCCCGTAGGAGGTCTGGCCAGCGGATGCCGACGGAACTGCCGTCCGCGGAGACAGAGCCCGCCGTCCGTGGAGGCCTGAGAAGACCTGCTCGCCGATCGGGCGCGTTGTACGGCGCGCTGCACGAGAAGACCTGCTCGCCGATCGGGCCCTGCCAGGGCGGGATGTAGCTGACCGCGCCGAAAAGGCATCTCGTGAACAGCTCGCCACGCCTAGCGCCTGCTGCATGAGCTGCGTCTGAATGCTGCAGAATCTCCGCCATGCCCTCGGCCCTTCTGAACACAGCATGTGCGTCGCGCCGGCAGCGCCGATGCCCGTCGGCCCCTGTGGCGGCATCGCAGAGCGCGCAGTCCCAGCAGCCTGCAGCCCCTCTTCGTTAGAACTTGGCCTGACAGAGGGCGGGGCCAGTGATGGCCAAATGGAGAGCCGTTCGCCACTGGTGCCCCCGGCTGCCCCCACCCCTGCTGGGGCGCGAGCTTGACGAGCTTCCTGGGAGGCCCCTAGTCGATGAAAGCCTCGCGAGAGGAACACTGAGCCCGCGTAGCTGTCTTGTCGGACCGGCGCTTGGCCAGGCCGATCGCCAGCTCCTGCGCTGGCGCTGGTGAAATCCTCCCGAAGTCTATATGGAACCCGTTATCTGTGGCGACGCGCCTGCTGCGTTGGAGCGGCTGGCATGGCCTGTCCATGGTGAGCGCGGCTGCGGCGACTGGGTCCTTGCGCTAAACCTAGGACGTCGGGCCCTTTGCAGCAGGCCCCTGGCTTCGTTGGTCAGGGCGTCGACGATGAAGGCCGCGGGGTAGCCGTGCCAGGGACGCGCCCTGCACTCGTTGACACAGAGCCTGCGCCGATGACTGCTGGGACCCTAGCCGAGCTCTCGGGGGGACAGCGGGGCCCGAGTTCAAACGAGGCCCCCGCAGCAGGTCCGCCGTCGCCCCTGGCCGCTGAGACTCGAAGGCCGCGCAGCACAGTCGGAGCCAGGCATGTGGTAGTCGACCCTTATACTGCAGCGGCTTTTGGCCATCCTCGCTCGGACTGAGGCGACCTCGGCCCCTGCTACCCTCGAGCGCTGGAGTCTCGTGGCTCGGCCTTGCCCTCGCGTGCCCTTGCCGCCACAATGCTGGCTGCCCTCCACCTGCCATCGTCGATATCGCGCCCTAGGCTCCTGCCGACGAGGACCCTGCCGTCGCTGTCGCCTGGCCAGCAGCCCCCCAGCGCTGCTGCCGCTGTGCGGGGTGGTGGTGGTGGTGGTGGTGGTGGTGGTGGTGGTGGTGGTGGGGGGGGGGGCGCATGTGGGGTAGCAGAAGTTGCCCGCGTGGACGGGCGCGCGCTTGTTCTTCATGCGCTGGAGGAAATCACGGGGCCTGCCTGGCAGCTCGCTGGCCATCGCCTCCTGCTGGCCGGCGCACTGAAGCGCGAAGTCGTCCACGACGATGCCGAAGCTGACGCTGAAGTACTTGGCCGCCACCTTCTTGAAGGAGCTGCGAAGGAGGAGCTTGGTCAGCCCAGTTGCGTATGAACGCCCTGCCAGCGCCACCCCGTTGACCTTGGGGGCGTCGCTGCAAACCTGGCCGAGCACGAACGATGGTCTTGTAGCCTCCGTAGAGCGTGCTGCACGCCCTGAGGAGCTTGATGTTGAATCAAAATGCCCCCGCTTCGACCATGAGTTCCGCGTGGCTGCTGTTCTCGCAATACTTCCTGAGGTCGCCCAAGACTGCGCCCGAGCTGGGGCCCTTCTCGCTGGCGATCGCTTTGATGGCCTGGTGTGCCCATCCTGCCGGCTTGCATATGCAGTCGAACGTGCCGAAGAACCAGCTCTCGCGGCGACCTCGTTGGGCCGCGCCCCCCGTCCGCTTTGGCCCTGAAGACGATGGCGGTGAGCCAGTCGCGTTAGGCTCTAGGCTGCCCCTCCCAGCTCTCGAAGACGCCCGGCAGCCGCGCCAGGTAGTCGTCGCCGAAGAGCTGAAGGCGCCGATAGCGACGCTGACCCCACCCCAGCGCTGCCCACCTGCCGCGCCGCTTGAGGAAGCCCCTCAGGTCCTTCACCTCGAGGTCGGGGAGGGCGTCGATGGTCCGCGTCGATGCGCGCTCGCCCCCCCCCCCCCCGCCCCTCCGCGAGCCGCGCGCCCTGCCATGGGGGGGGGTCCAGCAACTGCTGAACGGCCGCGCCGCCGCAGAGTGGTGGCGCTGCCTCGTCGTCGCCAAGTCTGTCGACCATGGGTTTGGCCGCTGGCTCGGGCTTGGCGATGCGGCCCGCTCCTGGCGCGATGATTCGTTCGCCCTTCCCCGGGGCCTCGAACTGCGTGCTCTGCGCGAAGGTGAAAACGCGGGCGATGCCCTCATCTGGCCCCTCTCATAAACAGTGGCCGAGGTCTGCCCTGGCCGCTGGTGCCCAGCGACGTCGTGGCCCGCGAGCGGATGGACAGTGACAGGCTCGACCAGATGCCGCGGCCACCCTCGCCGCTGGCCGATGGCGCCGTCCTGCCCGGCAGAGGGGCCTGCAGTCAGCTTCCGCTAGTTGTGGTTCAGCCTCGGCAGCGCGCTGGCGAGGCCGCCCCGCTAGCGCGTCCCGCGGGGGCGCGGCTGCGCCCGACTCCTCCTCGCGGCCTGCCGCGGGCTGACTCGCTGGACTTGAAACCCAAGGCTCGCGCCCATGAGCTGCAGAGCCTCCTCGCAGTCCGCCCCGGAGAACATGGCCAGGTGCTCCACCGCGCTGCGGAGCCACCGCCGCATGGCAGCCTCCGCCCCACGAAGGCCGCGCGCCCGACTGCCAGCCGCTGCCCCGTGGGTCCGCGGGCGGGCGGGGTCGGCGGCCGCTCGGCCCGTCGAAAGGAAACCTGGCCGTCCTCTTCACATGCCAGGCCGCCTTGCTCTCCTCGACCCCGCGGAGCCCGCAGAAGGCGGGGCCGCGCGGGCCGCCTGGCGCGCCGACGGGGGGCCGTTCGCGCGCAAGTAGGGGCGGGGCCTAGTGCCAGCGGCGCTGAAGTCGAGCTCCGAGCGGGCAACAGCGCCGCGAGGCCCACCCACTCCGCGGCTAGATGGGGGCCGCCGACGCAGCCCGTCAAGGCCGCCAAAAAACGCGGCCTCATGCCGACCTGCCGCGGAGTCGCCCGCCACGGTCCATGGCCGTTGAACTTCTCCATCCCTGGGGCGTGGTCCCAGGGGATGTCGGCACTGAAATCGCCGGGCCCCATCCCAGTCGCGCAAGTAGATGGCGGCGGCGTCGACCCCCGCCGCGTCGTTGACCATGGTCGGCCGACTGCGCGCCCTGCGCGGCTGGATGTAGTCGGCGCCATGGTTGCCTGTGGCCTAGCGTCGCAGCGCGAATGCCATGCCAGTGACCTCGGCTGCCGCCGGGTCGAAGTCGCAGCCGCGCTGAGGCGCCGCCATCTGACCTGCTCGAAGCGAAGCTCCTCGTCGCGGGCCCCTGGCGCAAAGATCTAGTCTGGCGACGGGGGAACGCCCGCCTGGTCACGCCTCAGGCTGCCAGCGCAGGTGCGACGGTCCTCTCCTCGATCCCGTCGAGGGTTCTGCGGAACTTGCGATCGGCGTTGGCCTTGGCGGTGCATCGCCAGATGCTGCTAAACCTTCCGCCTCTTGGCTGCGTTCTTCCTGTCCCCAGGCATTCGTCGGGGGCCCATCGGCGCTGGGGCGGCCCAGCAGCTCGGGCCCCACCCCCAGTCTGGCTCCCGTCAGGGTGCCAGGTCAGCCCATGCACTGCTGACGACTGCGCCGCGAGCAGGTGGCTCGCAGGCGCCGGCCTCGCGACCGCCATCGCCAGCAACGCGGGCAGACCCTTCCGCGGGTGCGTCACTGTCGCCCATGGCTTCGTCGACTGCCTCCTGGGCGCTAGCGGAAACTGCCTGGTGAGCCGCGTCAGCCTTCGCGCTGGCGCGCAGGATGGGCTGGTGCATGATTGCTTCGGCTGCAGCCCTGGGCCCCATCGAGCCCTGCGCCCCCCGGCGCCGACCCGTGAACCTTCCTTATGTTGGCCTCGGCCTCGACCAACCGGGCGTCGAGTTCCTTGGGGCACTGCTTCTCCGACTCGATTTGCTCGGCGATATTGGACTGCTGCTGCGCCAACTCGCCAGGCCTGCGGGTGCGCTTTCCTGTCTGCTGCTCCAACTTTCACTCCGCCGCGTGCAGAGCCCCCAGAAGTCGGCTTGACCTCGTCAGCCTCTTCACCTCCGAGCTGTTGCATGAGTTCGATGAAAGCTGCCTGCTTATCTGCAGATGCATTGCGCTTAAAATCTGCGAGGAACTCCCGGAGCTCCTCGATTTCGTGGGCGTGCTGCTCGAAACGATTGTTCCGCCAAGGCGTGAGCTTCGCTGCGGCCGTAGGAGGGCGGCGAGCACGCTTCCCTCGGCGGTGATGGAGTCTAACTGCGACCGATCCCTGCAAGCCGGTGGTTCTCCGAAGCCTCTCGCTCAACCTTGGTGGATCACTTCTGGATGCACTCGCGCCCCGTTGCTGGTGAAGCGACAGCGGCACAGCCAATGCGGAGCCGCAGTTCGCCCCTGAGGTCGCCGCGGAATCGCCGCGAAAGAAGTGGCCCCTGGGGCGGAGAGATATGAAAGCACTCAGCTCCTTGCCCAAGAAGTAGCACGTCGGCTGAGCGCAGCCCCGAAGGCCACGAACCCGCCCGCCCGCATTCGCGCTATCTTGGGCCACAACGGTTTGAGCCAGAAGGGCTACGGAACGCGATGGATGGTAGGGTAGAGTCGTGTCGCCTAGAACCGACTCAAATAAAATCAACCCCAGTCCTGTCCATACTACTCCGACCCCATGAAATTGAACACACTCCAGTCAATTGCATATCGGTGTTGGGATAGATTTGGAGTGTGCGCGGGTTGAATACGTTTGGTTTTTTGTTACACAGCTGCGTTCTGAAGATCGGAGCCCGTGGAAGGAGTCGTGGTCGTCGTCGTGGTGTGGTCGTCGGGCCTTTGACACCTCCATTTCGTCGAGCCCCTGGCCCCCATGGTACCCTGGCCAGCTGGCCTCCTGGTCCCTGGGTTTCGCCCTAGGCCCCCTCAAGCCATTTCTTATCGTGGTCGTTGTGGTCGTGGTCGTCGGGCCCCTGACCCCCCCCCATTGCGTCGGACCCTAGGCCCCGTGGCCCCCTGACCAACTAAACCCCCTGGCCCTGGCGCCTGGGTTTCGCCCCAAGCCCCGCAGCCGGGCCGTGACCCCGGCTCCTGGGCGGAGCGTCGTTCGACATCGTCCGCCTCCCTGGCCACTTCGGACCACCCTCGTCGTCGACGACGACGTCGTCATCCTCGTCGTCACCATCTTCGCCGTAGATATCCTCCCTGGTCGTCTCGGACCTCCATGACCTCCTAGCACCTGGCCTCCACGCTTCTCCCTTCCCTCGCCGCTCCCTCGGGCGAGGGTCATGGCACGCTCGCCATGTGTTACACGCTTCCATAAACGGTCGTTGCCCGGGGGGGGCGGGACTGGGGCCCTCGGTAACGGTAACGCTTGGGCGGTGCGCTGCGATCGCCGTAGTACGCGCGCGAACACCAACATGCGAGGGGCTCCAAGCCCAACCCCGTACGTATGATCGTAGCCGTTACCCGGGCCAAGGGAAGTGAGGCTGGCCCAGGTAACGACCGTTACGCGCCATAGGATAGAAAAACACAATCTCGAGACGTGCTGGAACAAGAAGGGGGCCATGCCATCTGAGAGATCTCCTGGCGTTTGCCAGGAGAAACACAGGCCCTGGTCCACACTCGCCTGCTTACACCCCCCCCAGCATAAGCAGACTTTGTCCAGTCCTGGGCGCGTCTCCTCAAAACTCTGCCATGGGGCCCCCCAGCGCGTGTGTGTGCGCGTGTGTGTGTGTGTGTATGTATGTGTATGTGTGTATGTGTATGTGTATGTGTATGTGTATGTGTGCGTGTGCGTGTGCGTGTGCGTGTGCGTGTGCGTGTGCGTGTGCGTGTGCGTGTGCGCGTGCGTGTGCGTGTGCGTGTGCGTGTGCGTGTGCGTGTGCGTGTGTGCGTGTGCGTGTGCGTGTGCGTGTGCGTGTGCGTGTGCGTGTGCGTGTGCGTGTGCGTGTGCGTGTGCGTGTGCGTGTGCGTGTGCGTGTGCGTGTGCGTGTGCGTGTGCGTGTGCGTGTGCGTGTGCGTGTGCGTGTGCGTGTGCGTGTGCGTGTGCGTGTGGGTGTGGGTGTGTGTGTGTGTGTGTGTGTGCGTGCGTGCGTGCGTGCGTGCGTGCGTGCGTGCGTGCGTGCGTGCTGTGTGTGTGCGTGCTGTGTGTGTGTGTGTCTGTATGTGTGTGTGCGTCAGGCTTTCGTCCAGTGGGAGCCCATGGACACCTCGTCGACGCCTCGAAGCTTCAACAGCATAGCTTGCACGACATAGTTTGCATTACATATATTGCAACACACAGCTTGAACCACGTAGCTTGCAACACATATATGTTGCACTACATAGCTTGCACCACGTAGGTTTAACCACACATATTGCACCACACAGCTTGCACCACATATATTGTGCCACATGAATAGCATCACATATTGCACACCATATCTTGCACCGCATAGCTTGCATGGGGTAGCTTGCACAACCCAGATTGCACCACATAGCTTGCACCAACTAGGTTGCACAAGACGTGCTGCAACACATAGGTTGTACAACATAGCTTCTGCTGAACATGCTGCACCACTTAGATTGTGCGTCCAGGGTTCACGTTCACACTGCTCGGGGTCCCCGCTGGCAAACATGGTGCAACCTATACGTTGCATCGTGTACGTTGCTATCTGTGCAATGCAATATTGGTGGCGCAGTCTATGTGGTGCCTTGTATGTGGTGCACTGTATGAGGACGCAGTCCGTGTTGTGCAAGCTGCTTGGTGCACGCTCTGTGGTGCAAGCTATGCGGTGCGACGTGTGCGGTGCAGTATTTGCGGTGCAGCCTGAGGCGAGCAATCAGTGTGACGCAGGGGTATGTCGTGCATGCTGCGTCACGCAGTCGGTGTGACTGCAGGCCATGACGTGCAAGCAATCTGGCTTCAGCAGCGCGAAGTGTCCACGAGGCGCCCAGGGCCGCCCACCAGGCGAAGACTCGACACGCCCAGGCGGTGCACAGGGCGCCCACCGGACGAACCCTCGGCACACCTGGGAGCCGCCGAGGCGTGCCTGGCCGCCCACCAGGCGAAACCCCGCCAAACCCATCCAATCAATGCGCCACCGTGCCTCCTGCCATGTTGAGGCATGGAAGAATGCCAAGTGCTGCCTGGCAGGGCTTCTGTGGAAGGAGACAGTAATCGAATACTGCTCTCGGATGTCTCTTCACACTCAGCACTGCC